ACTTTTTAAAGCATCTCTTCATTTATGCACCTTAGATTTTGAAAACTGGTTGCATTTTTTAGGTAGCATTAGAACTTCAGTTTCGGATTTTGTTTCCTCCTTTAAATCAGGTTTTTCTCCCTTTATACCATCAACTCTGTAACTTTCCGGGACTTCAAATTCGCTGTCAATATCAAAACAGCTTTTCATTTCTATTTTATTCCCCTAAGAATCTTTTCCAGGTCTATATTCTGATCTCCATAGTTGTGCCTTTTTAGTGCAATTAAGAACCATAAAAACAAAAGATCCTAACTTCATCAAGGGGAATGACAACCAGAGTGCCATGAAAAATTACCGAAAATTCTGAGGGTGCTAATGAAGCAGAAATTTAGAATGGTTTTAAAAAAAAATCATTCCTTGAAAACAGAACTGATTTTTGACGGGGGGCACCGAAGGTAACCATCAAATCGAAGTCTGATTTCAGGCAGGCCCTAAAGAATACCGGTGACAAAAGGTCCAAGGACACGGATGGCCATGGATTTAATTCTAGGTCTTCGTGGTCCAGTGGAAGTCGACAGCGCCTGTACTTCAGTGAACCAGAACCGTGGGAGCTGCTAGCAACTGTGGGTAGTAATTACCAGTAGAAGAACGTACACCGGTCCTGCTCCAAATGGATGGCACATGGAGGGGACAGGAAACCTGCGTGCCCCAACGTATGGCAACCGGCTGGTGTCTGGAGTTGGCAGAAGGTGTCACTTTGGGGGAGGGGTGCGGGGGGGAGGGAAGGATCGGGAACCAGGCAGCCCGTCCCCCGGGCTGGCGCGGGCAGGGCCTTGGGGGCGGCCGGGAGCTCCGCTTGAGCGAGGTGGCCGCCAGGCTTGCGCCTTCCGTCCGCGACGACGAGGCGGGCCACCCCACGCACCCCGCGCTCGCGGGAAGCGGCGGAGGGGGGCAGGGAGCCGGCGAGGGCGGCGGCGGCACTGCCAGTCCAGGGGGTGGGGGTGGCGGGCCGGGCCGACGTGGCGGGGAGGGGCCGGGCGGCGCGAGCCCCGGCCTCCCCGGGGGTGGGGTGGGGAGGAGCGGCCCTCGGGGCCGGGACTCGGGCAGGGTCCGCGAGCCTCCATCCCTCTCCCCGCCCCCCCCCCCCCGACCTACCGTGGAACTCGAAGTGGCCGATGCTCTGGCCCTGAGCGTCCCGGGCGGCGGCGCTGCTGAAGCTGCCCCGCAGGGTTTTACCATGGCTGCCCTGCGGCCACCAGCAGCACGTGAGGGCCACTGCCAGCAGCCGCAGTCCCCGCATCGCCTCACACCCGCACCCGCTCCCAACCGCCTGCGGGCCGTCAGCCCCACGTCGGCAACCGGGGGGGAGGGAGGGAGAGGAGAGGGGGGCGGAGCCAACGCTGGACCCTCGGAGACTGATAGCCAATGAGGGGCGCTTCCTCTGCCACGAGCCAAAGATATTAACCAATCAGAGGCCGAAGAGGGTGGGACGGGCACCTCCGGGCGTCCCATCTCTCTCCTGTCTTCTGGCTAGTTCCCGCCTTTTTTAAATGGGGCAGCGGGAGGCTGTTGCTTCAGGTTACGGGAAAAACCATCACCTCGGTTGCCTTGCGGCTGGCCTGCAAAAGTGCAGGTGTGTGTGTGTGTGTGTGTGTGTGTGTGTGTGTGTGTGTGTGTGTGTGTGTGTGTGTGTGTGTGTGTGTTGCGGGGGTTCTTCCCTTAGTTTATGGGATTCAGAAAGAAAACTCTCAAACTTGGAACCATGTGCTGATTTTTTCCTCCTCTACACCCAGATCACTTCAATGTGACAAGGATATTTATTTTTAATTGTCAAGGTGATGTACAGAGGGGTTACAGTTACATAAGTAAGGTAATAAGTACATTTCTTTCAAACTTGTTGCCCCTCCCCTCATTTTTCTCCTACGTTCCTTCCCCCCCCCCCCCCATTGTACAGATCATTTCCAACATACTGTCGTGTGTATATAGCTGCTGCCTTGGTTCCCCCTCATCCTTTGTCTCATCAAGGATATGTTTTGAACATGACCATGTTTAAATTAAACTTCTCTGCTTCTAAGTGATTTTTCCTGCCTAGGTTTTCTGTCTTCTTGATTCCCAAACAGATCAGACAGGTGGGAATCATACCTTTCTGGTACCCTCAGAGCTAAACAGCTCACGGACAACTATTTTGTGGCCTCGCTTCTGCTGGAAGGATACAGTGGTCACATTCTTATTCCTTCCATCACTTACTAGACCTTTGGTACCTGACTTTCCTTTGGTCTTAATTCTCTCAACTGACTACAACCCATCTCTTCCTTAGCCACAGAAAGCTGTTAGAAGTGCAATTAGACCGCATCACTTTTCTTCAGAGATTCCCTTTAGAGATAGCTCTTAGTGCATATAGAGATAGAGATATCCCTTCAGAGATAGTCTATAGTGCATAACCAAACTCTTGACAGGCTCTCAGATCTTCCAAGTGCCCATCCTTACCTATTGTCATTTCCTGAAATACTTCAACTTCTCTTCTGGAAGGTGATTTTGCAAATACTGGCTGGAGGTATTTGAACCACTCAACTTCTCTTCTTTTTCTCAGATTCTCAATTCTGTGTTAGTTGCCCCTGGAACCAGAATTCCTTACTTCCTCGTCAAGATATTACTGTAAATCAATATTGACTTATATGCATCCCTCACTATATTGGAAGTTCCAGTTAGTCAGAGATGGAGACTGGATTGATGAAAATATGAACTTAAAAAAATCATTTCACAAATATATGCACATTTTCATTCAACAATAAGCATTTATATAAGAAAAACAAATTCTCTCTACATACCTCCTGTCCTATAACCATCATTTTAGATTCTCTAACTGACCAGGAATAGACTAGCGGCATTAATATTTGATCATTTTTTCAAATTTCACTGGTTTTTTTCCTCCCACAAGAGCAATTCATGCAGCTTACATAAGAAGTCATAGGCAAAAGTGTATAAAGTAAAATTTAGAGTCGTAGCCTACTTCCTTGTGTCATTGCATGTATCTAATACTGAAAGGTAATCCTTTTTGATAGTGTAGAATAAGTCCTTTTACACATGCCTTTATAAATACATGTGGTGTTAACCTAAATTTGGTCTGCACATGCCACTAGTGCTTTGAATTACTGCAAGGAACTGCAACCTAGCAGTATATAAACTAAGAACAATCCAGCAGGGAATGTATTCTAGCCCATAGCCAAATTTCTGTCAATCATAGGAGGCTAATGAATTAGGCTTTGTCCATATATGGCAGATGAATGCCTGAGTCTAGATAAGATAACCAGATGAATGCCCTTCTTCTCCATACCTCCACTATAAATACTACTTGTGAAGCTCTCAACCTTCTGTTTCCCTTTTCATGTTTTTTTTTTTTGCTCAAATTAGCTCTGTTTAATTTGTCTAAAGTTATTTTATAATGTTATTTGAAAACCAAAGAAAGGTATAAAATCGACCCTAATGAAGAAATAAAAATAAGCCTTGAATGCTATGAGTTCTCTCCTTCTGTCTTTCTCACTGAAAACAGGCATTTGGGTTCCTCAGTTCACTGCAAACAAGATGACTGTGAACAATTTCTAAATGTGTAAGTCCTCAGAATTCAAGAACAGCAATCACTATAACGTTACATCAAGTTGAAATCTCTGGAAAGTTAAACTGGCCTAAGCTGAGTAGGGTGCCCATATGTGACCTTCCTGGAGTGAGCCCACTTAAGGAGATCATAAAGGGGTGAGGAAGATATGCGTCAGGAAAAAAGTATAAGTATCTACTCCAATATATTTTGGTTCTCATTCTGTAATGGCTTCCTATGTTTAAAGCTTATTCTATTTTAAAAGTTAGACAATCTTATAGATATTTGACTTCTGTCCCATTTTTTTCTTATTAAACAACACAGCAATAAAATGATCAATATTGTCCATCGTGGAATTTTGTCACCAGAGTATACGCATTTGAAATTGTCCTATGTATTACTACCTTCTCCTCAAAAAAATTTGAAATAATGATGGGGTGTGGTGGCTAAGACAGGAGCCTGGCAACATAGCAAGGTAGTCTTAAAAAATAAAAGAGTTTCTAATTTCCAAATGTTCTGAATAATACTTCTGTTTAGGCTTTGCTGAGACATACCATGCAGAGAAAAAGATCTTTATCTGTTGGACAGTACTAACTGATCATTTTTTCTGTTGTAGAGATTTTGGATTAAATCAGGAAACAAAAAGCTCAGTGAAGGTGCAGAGACAACAAATAATTGCATCATCAACTCGCACATTGACTAGTATAAAGACAAATAAGGTTAAGATGGTTTTTCAGGGTAATGGGGAACTTGCTATTTTAATTGTGTGGTGAAAAAAGGTCTCTGATAGGAAGACATTAAACCTAGGACTGAATACTGGGAAACTAAGCAGGCATTTGAGGAAAAGGGGTAGGAAAATAGCATTCTTATCCAATTCAAAGAAGACCAAGGAGGACCAGGGGAGTGGGGCAAAGTGAGCAAAAGGATAGAGTGCATCATTATTATGATTACAAGTAGCATGTGCTGTCCATAATCGTATGAACAACAATAGTAAGAGTTAATTTTGCAATAGTGACTTCTCATTTCCACCCTGAAAGAAGAAAACCCCACAAAGGTTCCACGGTGCATAACCGCTAGAGATGGATGAAGTACAAGAAAGAAGTCACTCACTCTTAATGTTGTACTTCTGTGAATCTAAGTAAAGCTTAACCCACACCAGACACACTAGCTTATAAAATGCCCAATGCCTTGGACAATCTCAATTGCTCCTGGCAGACCAGTCTTAGGCCAAAAGGACTTGCGCCTGCGCAGGAAGACTCCCTCAGCCCCGCCCCCAAAGTGGGCGTGGAAAATTGGCGAAGGCCCCACCTTCCGGAAGCGGCGGCCAAGTTCCCAGTAACGTATCAGGGAAGGGAGGCGAGTCGCAAAACGTCGTGGTGGGGGCTTCACGGCGGTCCTCAGACCCCGCGCTTTACGGCACCGAGCGCTGCCGAGCTGGGCTATGTCGATGGCGGTCGGGGCGGAACCTGGGGGCCCTGACAGCTTTGCGAAGCGGGTCCTGGTGACCGGCGGTGCTGGCTTCATGTAGGTACCGACGCCGCTGGCCGAGCAGATTCTCCTCAGGAAGGCCGAACTTGCCCCCACCGCTGTTGCCTGCCTCGGGGGAGGGGTTGTCTGACTTGGGGAGGGTCCTCGCGCGCCCCCACTTCGCCCCACCCCTTGCCCCGCCAGACGCGATCCGTTTGCAACTTCTTTAAGACGAGTCCTTTCCAAAGCCAGGGTGTTGGGGGTGCTGTCCCCGCCCCCGCCTGGCGCCAGTCACCCCTGGTCACTTCTTGGGGTGCGCGCGTGTCACGGAAATCCCCACCCCTAAAAGGAGCCTCCGGCCAGCACCGCGTCCAGGCCTTGATGGGTGGATACCTCCCGCACCCCACAGCCATCTCCTAGGACATGCATCATGCAGCATACGTAAAAACCCAGTGACTCCCAAGAGGCTCTCTGCCTCCTGCTCGGACCCACGTGCGAGCAGCCACTCCTGTCCGTTTCCAGAGCACGTCCTTCAGGCGACCAGGGCTCACCAGCCTTCCCCACCCGAGCTGCCTTTTGTCTGCATTAAGACTGTAGCATCCCGGTGGCACTCTGTTCCCTCAAGGTTGTTCTGCTTCTCAGACTGCTCAACGTTTGTGTAACTTATGCGAAGGCACGGCGGGGTCTCCTCCCAGACTTAACTCCAGACTCTCCTGCACCTAGAAGATGCAGGTGCCTAACTGCTGTTTCCAACCTGATTGCTCTTCTTTTCTGTGCCTGCTACCTTTTACCCTCTTAAGTTCTTGGAGCACACCTGGCTAGTGCCCACCCCCTTCTTGAGTGCTTTGTAGGCCTGTCCTTTATCATCTTTTTGCATTGCTGAATTCAGCTTTTTACTCACATCCACCTACCTCTGCAGTGTCCTTACCTGACTGAATACATTATATATAGAACACACACACACACACACACACACACACACACACACACACACACACACAGCCTAGCTCTCTGTTAACAGGCTTAACTTCTTCCTGATATTACACATATTTGTATATTGCCCGTTTGTATTTGCGTGTTCATTGCCTGCATCTCCATTGTAGAATGTAAACTCCAGGAGGGCAGACACTTTGGTTCACTAAGTACCTGAAAGAATGCCTGGCCCATTTTATGAAGATCTTCAGTAATTATTGAAAGGATAAATGCTTGCGTGACAAGCAGGACACTTTCCTACTCTCAAGGAACTCAGTGTCTAGCAGAAGAGGAAGGGATGTGGTATTTCTGTTTTTCCCCCACTAATCCATTAGCTCATTGCTTCTTGTCTGACAGTCATTTGTGGGAGAGTATCAGACAGGCTAGTTCCATCTAATAAGAGGATTTTTTAAAAAAGGACATTAAAGTGTGTTACTTGTGTGAGAATGCTGATCTAGGTGGACTGTTTGTCAAAGGTCTTCCAGGTACAGGCTCAGAATTCATAATTTATCTGGTCAGGGCTTACCCTTCTCCTGGAAGCCCAATGCTTAAATGTTTGACAATCTAGTAGTTGACTTCATTGAGCCTTTGGTTCCATTTCCAAGTGTTCTGAAGCCTAGCAGCCTCTGCAGATAGCCAACTCAGGATAGTTTGGATCATTAGCTTGGAAATCTTTCCTGAGGATTCTGGTTTGCATTGCCAAACTGTCATACCAAGAGATAGCCATTGCAGAAGTTACTCTAAACCTAGACAAATGACTGTTCAACCTGATTTACATTTTATACAATTGTATCTGCAATTCCTGAAAGGCATGGTGTAATTTCAATGCAGTTGTTCTGACTAGCACACTCATCATGCATTGATGGGATGACTAGGTTGATAGCAACATAGGGTCAAGTGACTATTTCTTTATACTTTATACCCAATTCTTTTTCCCAAATGGTATAAAGCGAGTATAAGAGTTAGTTTATATATAGTATTGAAAGTTGGGTAAAAAATGTTGGGGTTTTTTTTTGGCGGGTGGTTACCTTATTTCTGTTATTTTGGAAAAGTTAAATTTATCTTCTGATACTCACCAGCTTAGGAAAGCACTCAAGAATATAGAGAGGTAAAAGTTTTCTACTCCTACAATCTACTCTTTTCTTACAGTGCATCACATGTGATTGTCTCCTTAGTAGAAGATTATCCAAATTATATGATCATAAATCTAGACAAGGTGAGTTTTATAAAAATGAACCATGCATTGAAGTTATGTTTCAATTGAATTATATTTTTCAGGATCCTGTTATTTATTTAGTTATGATAGCTACTTATGGATCTTTATAGTATGTGCTCATGATGTAGTAAAACTTATGTAAGATCTTTCTAAACTAGCATGTATTAGTCCACAAAGTTGAGTTCTTTTTCCTTCCTTCCTTCCTTCCTTCCTTCCTTCCTTCCTTCCTTCCTTCCTTCCTTTCTCTCTCCCTCCCTCCCTCCCTCCCTTTCCCTCTCCTTCTCCCTCTCTCTCTCCTTCTCTCTCTCTCTCCCTCTCTCTCTCTCTCTCTTCCTTTCTTTCTTTCCTTTCTTTCTGAATCAAACCCAGGCTGGGAATGTGACTTAGTGGTAGAGTGCTTGCTTAACATTCATGAAGCCCTGGGTTCGATTCCTCAGTACCACATAAACAAAAAAAGCTAGAAGTGGTGCTGTGGCTCAAGTGGTAGAGAGCTAGCCTTGAGATAAAGAAGCTCAGGGACAGTGGCCAAGTCCTGAGTTCAAGCCCCAGGACTGGCAAAATAACAATAATAACAACAATAATACAGTAGTAGTAGCAAGAAAAAATAAAAGAATCAAACTCTTGGCCTTGTCTGTGCTAGACAAGTGTTTCAACACAGAGCTATATTTCCATAGCCCTTGCTATTTTGAGGCAGTGTCTCATTGCATAGCTCAGGCTGGCCTGAAACTTCAGATCCTACTGCTTCTACTTCCTGAATTCTGAGATTAAAGACATGTGTCACCACTGCCAGCAGACCAAGGTTTGTGTTTTCCCCCCCCTTGTTTTCTTGTTTGTTTTGTTTATTTGTTTGTTTGAACTAGAGATCAAACTCAGAGGCTTGTGCTTGCTAGATAAGTGCTCTACCACTTTAGGCACATCTCCCAATCCTTTTAGTTTATTTTTCAAATAGGATCTTGTGCTTCTGCCTAGTGCTGTCCTCAAATATTGATACCCCTATCTCTGCCTCCCAAATATTTGGGATTACAGGCATGTGCCACCATGCCAAACCCAAGGGCAGCCTTTAAAAAAATATCCCAATCATGCAACAAACAAAAACAGGTCCACCCTTCCTAAATTCAACATTTAATGTAACCTTGTAGTTACTGGTGTTATACTGGGAGCTAGTATAATTTGATATTGTACTGTATTCTTTTTGGTCTGAAAGGCTTTGTTTGTTACTATTTTTGTAACTTTCTGGATATTATGTGTGTTTTTAAAAATGTAATACAATTAATTTGTTTTTGAGAATTAGCAATAATTGGAGTCTCCCTGAAGAATGTGATAGCTAAGATTAGTAGTCACTATGTTTTTGGATGTAAAAGATTATACAAATGGTTACTTTAATTTTACTAGTGGTAACTTTCCTAGCTACCAATAGCTGCAGGCATATTTTGGCAGGAGCATTTTTAAGTAGAGTTTTATTGAAAGGTTAATTTGGAGAGTTATTTGTTTGATATTTTGAAAAGCTAAGAAAAATTACTTCCTTAAACTTTTAAGATGTCAACTTTAAAATGTATAAAAATACAACAAACACACATTGATTTTCCAGCCTTCATCATCGTAGTCTTAAATAAAATAAATTCTATTTTATAGGAAAATATAATGTTACCGCTTTTTTGTGTTCCCCTTCCCCCATTCTCTTACTTTTAGCTGGATTACTGTGCAAGTCTGAAGAATCTTGAAGCCATTTCTAGCAAACAAAACTACAAATTTATACAGGTACGCAAGATTTTATAACTATTGTACTGTGTCCTTTTAGTCATGAAGAAATAATGTTTATCTCCATTATAAATTATAAGGTATACTTACATACTGAAGACCTTTTAAAGGATCAGGTAGTCATTGCTAGAAGTAGCACATGCTGTAGAGAATTTTACTTTTGGTTTGACATTACACTATGATTTGTTGGGGTTTTTTTTGATACATTAGCAAATTCATGCATAACTAGCAGAATTTGCCTGGTTTGTGACTTTGGGTCCTCACTGGCCTCTTTTAATAATGCCTTCCCCAACAAATGATATGAAGTACAGTGTTACTCTGAAACATCAACCATCAGGGAAGCTGGCAGGACAGTCTTCCTTAGGAAGGCCATTGCCTTTGGACAGCTGACTCTTAGCAATTTCTCTTAGGTAAGTCCAAAGGGTAAACCACAGGGCTGGGCCCTTCACTTTTAGAGAGGGAAGCAATACTGTCCCATGAAACTATGTTATGATGTATGATTTTTTCCCCAAGAATATAATTCTATAAACTCTTTATATAACTGTAAAACTTAAAGAATATATTAAAATTTAATGTTAAAGTATTTTCCTCAGTTACTGAAGATTTGTTGAGAATGTGTATTTTAAGAAAAACACGCTGTCCATATAAACATTAAATGTACCATAATTTTACTTACTTGAGATAAAATATGCATGTTATTAGACTTAGTTTAAATATATTTCAGTAATGGTTCTTTCAAAGGTTTTTGTGTTTTCTTTTAATGTTAAAATTTTTCCTAGCCGGGTGCTGATAGCTCATATCTGTAATCCTAGCTACTCAAGAGACTGATATCTGAGAATTATGGTTTGAGTCTAGATTGGGCAGGAAAGTCAATGCAACTCTTATCTCAAATTAACCATCAAAAAGTTGGAAGTAGAGCTGTGCCTCACATGGTAGAGCACCAGCCTTGAACAAAATACTAAAGAACAGTACCCAGACCCTAAGTTCAAACCCTAGTACTGCCACAGTACTAGGGTTCCTTACTGATGTAGCAGTCATAAAAATGTGCTATAACTTGCTCAACCTAGTGGTTTATGCTTGTGGTCCTAGTTAAACTGAGGTCTAAAGATCTGGGTTCAAAGCCAGAACAAGCAGACAAATACAAGAGGCTCTTATCTCCAATTAACCAGCAAATAGCTGCAAGTGGAGGCATGACTCAAGTGGTAGAACACTAGCCATGAGCGGAAAATCAGAGCAAGATTGAGAGGCCCTAAGTTCAAACCCCAGTACCAGCAAACATGCATGTGTGTGTGTACTCACATACACACACACATACACACAATTGTGATAAAACTAGTAGTTGTTGCTCAATATAATTTTACATTTATTTGCAACAATTTTTGGATTAAATTTCATATATTCTGAGGTACTGGATAAACACCACATTTACTATATCTGCCTGTCTACTTCGCTGAATTTTCAAGATATTCTCTATTGAAATAGGAAGTAGGAAAAGGGGGATATGAAATAAGAATGGCTATTGTGAATAAGAATGTACCAGGAAACTTACTTTTTCATGTTTGTTTGTTTTTTCCATATAGGGCGACATATGTGATTTGCCCTTTGTAAAGCTGCTCTTTGAAACAGAGCAGATAGATATAGTTCTACACTTTGCTGCACAAACACACGTAGGTAAGCACTATTTTATGTTGCAGTCATGATTGGCACATTAATCCCTTGGAGGCAGAAGTCTAAAGTCCGGTAATGGCACTGAATGAATGGGTAACTTAATGCATACCTTTGAAAGAAGATATACATGCTGTAAACTAGATTCTGGTCACTGGTCTACTTGGCATTTTAAAATTATTTTTATGAATGTAGGTTGAAATATAATTTTTGATATATCTTACAACTTGGAGTTAAATCAGATTCAAACTAGGGAGGGAGAAGCATGAGGAAATGGGTCTTAAACTGTTTTTTTAATTATCTGTACTATTTTTGTGCATTTGCGATATTTTTGATAATTTTCTTAATATTGTGGAAGATTACCTATATTCTGAAGAATTTAGAAGTGTAGTTAAATAAAAAAGTGATAGTGTGTATACCTGAGTAGCCATCACTGAAGCAAAGCAGGAAATTGAAAGTTGCTGAGTCCTTGGTAGTCTGTACCAAGTACCTACTGATTGGTTATCATTCCATTTGCATTTTGTTATAGTTTGGCTGCCTACATCTTTTCCTCTAAAACTTATAGTTTAGTCTGGACTATTTTTTTTTTTTTGGGTCCAGTCGTGGGGCCTGAACTCTGGGCCTGGGTGCTGTCCCTCAGCTTTTCAGCTCAAGGCTAGCGCTCTACCACTTGAGCCACAGCACCACTTCTGGCTTTTTTCTTTTTGCTTATGTGGTGCTGAGGAATCGAACCCAGGTCCTCAGGCATGCAAGGCAAGCGCTCTACCACTGAGCCACCTTCCCAGCCCATAGTCTGGACTATTTTTGAATTAAAAAAATAAACACATATGAACTAGTGTGTAGATTTTCTTTGGTCTTAAAAAAAAATCTTAGACTCATCCAGATAGGTGTAGATAGAATTTGTTCATTTTTCAGTGTTGTGTACTATCTCAATTTAAGAATATATTGCAGCTTTCTTATGTATTTTTACTCTTGATGGATATTTGAATTCATAAACATTTGAGGAACTTTAAATAATAGCCACCTATGTACCATTGTACTCATACATACACCTTATTTTTTTTAATAGGGCTGGAGCAGATGGCTTTATATTAAATGATATTGGGGAAAGATATGAATAATATTTGTAGTATGTTTGATATTTGCTTTGTACCTGAGTCCCTTGAGTAGTTCTAGCTGTTTTCTCATTTATCTATCTATTTATTTATTTTAGATCTTTCATTTGTCCGAGCTTTTGAGTTTACATATGTTAATGTCTATGGCACTCATGTTTTGGTAAGTGCTGCTCATGAAGCCAGAGTTGAGAAATTTATTTACATCAGCACAGATGAAGTATACGGAGGCAGTGTTGATCAGGTAAGCTTAGGGAAAACAGTCTACAAGCCATATCACCCTGTAGCAAGGTATCTCCTTTAACCTTGAAAGCTAAGCAGGGTCAGGCGGGGTTAGAAACTTGAATAGGAGAAAATATATATTCCACCTACTGAGCAAGTGGACTAAACCCATACTGGGCTGTTTCTGTGCTCTACTTATGTGCTTGGGGACACTCCAAACTGTTATTCCATTGTTTCTTCTTTTAAAAATTAGGAATTTGATGAGTCTTCACCCAAGCAGCCTACAAATCCTTACGCATCATCTAAGGCGGCTGCTGAATGTTTTGTACAGTCATATTGGGAACAACACAAGGTAAGAACTGATTTCTGAAACTCACTAACCACTTACTTTGGACTTAAGTGCTAAAATTGCAAGTACTTTCATTTTTGGAATAGAAGATATAGCTTGAGAAAATTTACATATTAAGGAATTTAAAATACTGATTTCTTATACTATGTGGACAACATAGGACCTACCTCTTATGACTCAGTTTATCATTAAAGCAATATTTTGAATATATATTTTTCCCATTTCAGTACTAGGTAGAATGTTACAGCTATAGTGAAAAGCCCTGTTGGATTCCTATGAGTGGAGGAAGACAGAGGGTGGACAGATTTCCTTTCCTGCCGTGTGCTTCTCTCTGCATCATTCAGCATTCTTGACTCCTCGTGAATGGGAGGTAGACTCGCCCCGGGTGGCTCTGAGTGTCCATGTGGGAGCCTGGCCCAATGAAACCCCCACATATTTGGCTTCCCACTGATCATCATTAGCTATTAGGATCTGGGTCAGAAAGGCAGGCCAAGAGCATACAAGGTTCTCTCACCATTTTTGTTCTAGTGACATTGGTCCTCTTCCATTTGAAGTAGTTCTTTTATGTATAAGCATTGATATGACAGAGAGAGGGCCAACTTGAGGGTTAGCCCCATGCAGACTTAGAGAACTAGAGGGAGCCTCTGAAATGAGCAAGTAGAAGGTCCTCAGTACTCTATCAGGCTTATTTACAAACTTGCCTTTCCTTGCTCCAGTAAAGAGGAGCCTTTTTTGGGGGATCCTTTATCTGAACTCCATCTTCTTCTGTCTTTTCCCTGCCTCCCTCCCAGCTTCCCCTGCCCTCCTACTCTCCTTCCTCTTTCTTTCCTTTCCTTCCTTCCTTTACTTTCCTTTGTCACTCTCTACTGCCCTTCCCCACCTCACTGTCACTTTTAGCTCTCTTGCTATCTTTCCAGACAGGGTCCCACTGTGCATCCCAGACTTAGCTTGGATTCACAGTCCCTTTCCCCTTGAAGAGACCTTTTCTAATGTAAGGTTCCTAAAAACACAAGAGCTGAATGTGATGGCCCATGACTATCATCCAAGCATTTGGAAAAAAATCCAGACAAATCAGGTTGAATACTAGTCTGAGAAAAGTTAGCACAAGATCCTATTTGAAAAGCAAATTCAAAAAACAAAAACCTTGAGAACTTCAAACAAAAAAACCTTCTCCTTAAAAATGTGCAAAATTATTTAGGTGACAGTACCTATTGTTTAAACCTCTGCAGATCTTCAAAATAATCATTGTTGGATTTTTTCATTACATTAATGTTGAATTTCACTCTTTTAAGTTTCCAGTTGTCATTACAAGAATCAGTAATGTTTATGGACCACATCAATATCCAGAAAAGGTAAATTTTACTTCTGAATCCATAGTGGGTTTTAGTGATTGTAATCTCTTAATATTTAAAATAATCCCTTTTAAATTACTTGTCTAAATAATTATTTTGTAATTATAGGTTCTTCATAGGCTATATGCAAGTCTCATCAGACTTAGTGTTTAAAGGCTTGAGGTTAAGTATCAGTTTGACAGTAGCTGGCACGATTGTAGGCCCTTTGAGCATCTTTGAATGGTGGAATAATGAAAATGCTTAGAAAAGCATTGGAAGGATCCAGTGAGATGATGTACGGGCAGATGCCTTGTCTTTGGGGGACTGAAATGCCAGAGAGGAGTCCCACCACTGCTGCTATGCTGCAGTTAAGACTGCAGTCAGATCTATATATCTCAATGGACAGAAAGTTCAGAGCTCCTTAGGCAGTGATGTGGGAAGCTAGTACATAAATTTGTCTTGCTGTCAGATGGTTAACTGTACCACAACTCATCTTTATTGTTATATGGCCGAATGGCCTCAGAAAGCCAAACAAGCAGGAGATAGGAAAAGTAGTTAAGTGAGTGAAAGTGCCTATGCAGTTGGTCCTTGGCCACAAGTCCGGTTCTAGATAACTGTGACTGCTCTGCTTATATTTGGAGGCTTAGTTTTCTTACTTCACAGGTGATTGCTTTCACGTATTTGTCCAAACAGGAGACCCTCAGCATATTTATATTGCTTTATTTGTAGAGTATCCTTAGCAAGTATAAAATAAATATAGTAATTTCTTATTTTCCCTTTAACATAAAATTATCTGTAAGTCCATGGGCACTTGACTCTATAAAGTACAAGTCATATATAAAGTGAGCAGTAAGATAATATTCTTACCTTCTGTGAGGAATCAGCACAGAGAGGACAGCGAGCATCCTATGAAGACTTCCTCTGATTTCTCCTTCATTTATGTAATTTTATCTGTAGATAATCCACGTTTTATACAATAAACTATCTGAGAGTTCTTTTGCTAATCAAATACTATGAGCTCTTTCATGGATTCATGACTAAAAAGAACTAGAATTTATCTCTAATCTTCTGAATTTAGATTCATATTAGTGAGTGATTTCCAATGTTGGAAAGGTTATTCCAATATTTTTTTATTTCAGGTTATTCCAAAATTTATATCTTTATTACAACACAACAGGAAATGGTATGTTATCACTTGCTTTTTCACTGCTGTGTTTTCTGGTCTGTTGAAAGTGTTGGGTAATAGCATTTCATAAAAGTCATAGAGCTTTGGAGCTGGAGGCCATGGACTTGAATGTCCCACAAAATTTAAAAATCTTTTCATGTAATGTGATATTTTTTAGGTAATTATAATCCATAGTTCATCATTTTAATTTAATAAGATAATTTCAACTCTTAATGACCTGTCATTGAATTTTGAGTTACAACGTTTAAGTTTAGCATCAATCTTTATATAATTTTCCTATTCTCAAAGGATTAATTGGTAGAACTGTGGCTAGTTCTTCAAGATGGATTTACAGAATGAAGTTGAGAAGTATTCATTGTGGTTCACATTTGCCAATTATTGAGTAGACCGAGAAAGTTTGCAGAGATACAGTATACAAAAACTATGAGAATTTGTGGTTTCAGTAAGGTTGCTAAGCTCCTTGTGGTAACTAGTTCTCAGAGCTGTACCAGTCTTGTTTTATCCTACCCTGGGAGAGCTTAATGTTTCACACTTTCCAATTCTGCTTTGTTCTTTAGCTGCATCCATGGCTCAGGGCTTCAAAGAAGAAATTTCCTCTATGCCACCGATGTAGTAGAAGCACTTCTCACTGTCCTCAGAAAGGGAAAGCCAGGCGAAGTTTATAACGTTGGAACCAATTTTGAAATGTCAGTTGTCCAGCTTGCCAAAGAACTAATACATCTGGTATGTAACTCTTTCAGAGGGAGATACATGAAAACTGTCAAAAAGTCAGTGACAGTAAGCGCAAGGTTATTCAGTATCAGTAGTTTTTTTTTTGTTTTTTTTTTTTAAATTTTATTTTATTTTATTTGAGAACATACTGTACAGAGGGGTTACAATTACATGGGCAGGAAAATGCATACATTTCTTACCAAGCATTGCAGCCTCCTCCTTTGTTTACCCTTCACCTCCCTTCCCACCCTCCCCCCTCCCCCCCCCACCCAATCATACCCCTCCCCCCCCCACCGACATTGTAAAGCTGGTTTTGACATGACATTTTGTACTTCTCATTGTTGCAACAGGTCCACCTGAATCCTTAATCAACTTGTTTGTCCCCGTCTCCTCCACATGTTATACTGACATCAAATATAGTGAAAGCGGGGGTTACACTGTGGGGGAGGGACATACAAAGCAACAAAGAAATAATATTATAAATGCGTTAGAAACACATGCATGAAAGAAACAAAAACATTAAAATACATATTTGAGGGTTCGTTTTCCTAACATCACATTCTCTGACTTTTTCCGCTTGACTCATACCTATCAGTATCAGTAGTTTGCAGTTTACTAAATTTAAAAATGGGAAGTAGAATTCATAATTACATGTCCTACTTGTATTTTCATTGGTAATTCTTTTAGTAGTCACTCCTTGCAAGAAACAAATTCACTAATGTACACGTCCATATTGTGAGATGTACTCACTGTCAGAAATACAAAATTGTGTATTTTAGAATCAAAGCACATGACATATAACATAATTCGGAGCATATGTGTGTACGTATATATATATACATACATATATATATATATAATATATATATATATTAAAAACCTAAAGCAAAAAGCAGGAAAATACATTTTCTCCTGTAGTTTATATCCTGCATATTCTCTTTTGCACCTCATATGGAATGTGGTTTATGAGGTATAGAAAGTGTTTTTGGTGTCTCCTGTGCTTGAGGCAGTTGTCTTTCTTGACTGTTTTTATCAGCCCTTAAATACCATTGTTATTCTCTGGTCTCATTTTATAATTTGACTCAAAAGCTTTTTCTTCATTTTGACAGATCAAAGAGACAAATTCAGAGTCTGAAATGGAAAATTGGGTTGATTATGTTAATGATAGGTGAGTAACAAGTTAAAACACTGGGGGAAGGTTGTGAAATCTTAGTGTAAAATTATAAATTTTATGGACTTACCTGAAAACTAGTTTATCTCTTTTGAATTTTCTAGTAAATTGTTCCCTAATTATAAACATCATACAGACTAAGGATAGCACTGTTACTAGCTGTGACACTTAAAGAAAGTTATTGGCCCTTTCTAAGTGTGAGGCTTCCTCCATTGTGAAAGAGGGATAATAATACCTTGCTTACATGAGTATGCTAAGGTTTAATTACAATGGGAATAAAGTGCCTGGCCTAGGGCCTGACACTTAAAACTCCTAAGTTATATGTATTTATTTTTTCACTCATTAAGCATTTATTAAGTACCAGACATTAGATTTATATTTAAAATTGTAACTATAAGAATAAACCCCAGAGAAAGTTAGGTATTGGGCATTATAGATTTTTATAAATTATATATTATATAATTTGTTTTTAATACTCAGCATTGAGTATGCCTTCAAAGATTTATTTTGGTTGTTTATTTTTTGTGTTGGTCCTGGGGGTTGAACTCAGGGCCTGAGCACTGTCCTTAAGCTTTATTTTTTTCCACAAGTCTTACACTTGAGCCACATCTCCACTTCTGGCTTTTTTGGTGATTAACTGGACATAAGAGTATCATAAACTTTCTTGCCCCAGCTGACTTCAAATTGCAGTCCTCAGATCTCTGCCTCCTGAGTAGCTAAGATTATAGACATGAGCCACTAGCACCTGGCTCAGAGAGATTTTCTTTTTTAATTAAAAAAATGAATTATTGTAGACATTCATGAACACAAACATACCTCTCAGTGTTAAATATGTGGACATATATCCAGAACATCATTTTAATTCTTTTTTTTTCCCCCTAAGACCTACCAATGACATGAGATATCCAATGAAGTCAGAAAAGATTCACGGTTTAGGATGGAAACCTAAAGTGCCTTGGAATGAAGGAATAAAGAAAACAAGTAGGTTAAAATTTGATCACTTTAGGAGCAATCAGAAAAACATGAAAATATTTCATTGTTAGAAACACTATATAAAATTTTTCAATAAATCATTTGTACTTCTTAAATTGTTACACAACATATTTCTGAGTATTTTGAAGTTCGTAGACTAACTGCATCAGTTTTTGTGTTATATTAATATTAATCAAATGCCTATTTCATTGATTCTGAAGTGCATATTTTTATACCTTCTTATATCCTAGAAAGTTTTGTGTAATGTAATCATTGATACCTTATATTTATTATTGTAGCTTTTTTCTTCTTTCATTTTCTATAAATAAGAATCCAATTTCAGGTGTGGTTCCTAAAATTTGATGAAATATAAGCTGCAATAGTCTTTGAGTGTCTTGAGTTACATTATATTGAAAGAAACAAATACGAAACAAATTCAATGTATTTGGAAAATCCATGAAGAAAAGTATAAAGTCTGCATGTATTTTAGAATTCTATTTAGAAATGTACTTATTAGAAAACATCTACACAAATGAAGACAATTGATGATTTGGATCTTGAAATACAAAATACTTCAGTCAAATACTGAAAATAAAAATCAAAGGCAGGGACTGGGAAGGTGGCTTAGTGGTAGCGCACTTGCCTTGCATGCATGAGGCCCTGGGTTCTATTCCTCAGCACCACATAAGCAAAAAGAAAAAAGCCGGAAGTGGTGCTGTGGCTCAAGTGGTAGAGCGCTAGCCTTGAGTTGAAGAGCTGAGAAAAAAAAAATCAAAGGCAACATATAGCTGTTAAGTTTCTTTTAATTCAGAAAGTTTTTACTGATAGTATTGAATAAAATAATTTCACATAGTAGAAGGAAGCTTACATCAGCATACTCTGCCTCTGATGCAGTGCTACCATATTTATATAAACCATATTTTTTAAATAAAAACTTTAAAAACCACTACAAATGACTTTTCCCTCACTTTGAATTCCCTGAAATCAGAATGTCTTCTGCACTTACATCAGTTTCAATATTGGAGGATTTTTGAAGTGAAACAGAAAAAAAAAAAAGGTGTTTTTAATTCTAACATTTTCAGGTTATAGTATCATTGTCAAGTTAAAAACCAGATTATTTAGCCTTGGTCTGCTGATGGGTTTTGAGGGGCAAGAATTTTCTTATATAATGAGAACTCAGTAACCTTGATTGACATTTGGTTTTAGATTTTTTATTTTCTGTTTTTCTGTTTGTTTGTTTTTCTATCAGTTGAATGGTACAGAGAGAATTTTCACAACTGGAAGAATGTGGAACAAGCATTAGAGCCCTTTCCAGTACAGCCACCATTTATGTAATCAGCACAGTCTTCAGAGGAAGAAAAAAATTGTCCTACCTCAACAAGTGACATGAAATCATGTGACCAAATGAAGAGCCCTAATTCATTAGGAATAGATCCATGGTTTTTTTGTATTAAATTCCATTTTTGGGGGGGAGGTGTCAGTCGTGGGGCTTGAACTCTGGGCTTGGGCACTGTCCCGGTGCTCTTCAACTCAAGGCTAACGTTCTATCACTTGAACCACAGCACCACTTCCGGTTTTCTAGTGGTTAATTGGAGATGTGAGTCTCACGGAGGTTCCTGCCTGGCCTGGCTTTGAGCCATGATCCTCAGCTCTCAGCCTCCTAAGTAGCTAGAATTATAGGTATGAGCCATCAGCGCCTGGCTAACTTCAAATTTAAAATAAGTCATTCATTCAATTTTGGTATGGGATTTTAAAGATCAGAATTCTTTCAGAACTTCTGGAAATTAGAAAATCACTCATGACAGGCTTTCTAGAGAAGGGTCAAGAAGGAGGCTTGTGGTTTTGAGAATAAAGGTTGGTAGTAGCACAGGGTAGACAGTAAAGCTTGGTGGGTCTGGGGCTCCGCTCCTAGCTTTTCCCGGTGTCTGCAAGTCTCAGAAGTGTTTTTAGGCACTGTAGGTTGAGTATTATAATGTATTTCAACTTAAAAAAATTAAAAAGGTCTGCTATTATGCTATAGTTTCTTTAAAAATGGAAAAAAATGGAAGTATTTCTAAAGCTTTTTAAGTTTTGATAATTTTATAAAATGAATTTTGGTACTTTATAAAGGGCATATAAGATTTTTATGTTTTCAAAGCTAGTTGTTGATTTATATATAACCTGTATTGAAGAAATTTTATCATCATGTATGTATTGTTTAAAATGATTTTATTTATAAAACTGTCAATATTTTAGTATATTTAATATAGAATATGGCAATTTTTATTAATGCTTTTATTTTACTGTAGAAAATATTTCTAATGCTTGATTGTGCATTATAAATCTCTTTGCCTAAAGACTTTAAAATGACTTGAAAAAGTAACTGGCTGGGTACTGGGTTGAGAAAGGGAAAGGAAAGCGTATGACCCTCTGTTGGTATTGTGGCTTGTTGACCCACCATTAAAAATCCTGATACACTTTATCAGTACTCTGACTCCAGCCTTCTTACTGTGTCTTCTGGTCTCCAAGTCCACTTCCTCTGTTTCTTTTTTCCAGATAATTTCCTGAGTGGAAGGAAAGTGGACAGGTGAGGCAGTCAGGTCCTGCAAGAGGCAAATGTGGAGACACAGCAATGCCTGCAGAGATAAGACAGGAGAAAGCAAACTTGGGCAGGATCATGGTGCTGCTGTGGCTGGGCTTACAGAAAGGCAAACCCCATGTAGAAAAAATGTCTACTGTGAGCATCAAGTCAGCTTGTCACCAACTAATTGGTTGTTTTCTTTGTTAGCAGTGCCATGTTGGAGGTTCAGCATCTGTCACCATTTCCAACAGTAGATGTTGACAGATAACAGCAGCTGGATTGGTTGTGAGAAGTGAGGATCTATGATGTGAATCACAGTGGGTTCCATCTCTGCCTTCATAACTGTCCTATTCAGGTTGCCCATTGTGGTAGTTCTGGGGTCAGTACTGATGGCTGGCTCAAGTTAACTACCCATGTAATTTAGTCTGCTGGGCTGCTCAGGACTTTGTTCTTCCACAGTGGTTGCTTTCTAGTTGGCATCACCATGTGATCCACAGCTAGGCTCTTCACACTCCCAGCCATCTGCAAACCCTTTGTACACATAGAACTCAGGAGAATGGCGATTCTGCAGGTTCTTTACAGTTACAGCAAGAACCAGGCTGGTGAAGTCAATGGAGATATACTGTGGGCCCACCTCTACATCCTTGAGATATTCAAGGGTGATGTCATCTCCATTTCCAACATGCAATTTTGTTTTTTATTTACTGTCTTGGCTAGGGGAGTGATACCTTACTGAGGGAATGGCCCCCCAGTGTCTCAGGGTCCTGAGCCTCAGAAGTTCTGAGATCCACCAGCCTAATCAAGAGGTTCCAAGAAGGTTTCCTTGATGATATTTAAGCTATCCATGTCAAAGACTGACTGAGAGCCAGTAGAGAAAGTTGGGGGTGATTCCGGGCAGAAGGACTGGTGCAGTGTGGAAGCTCTATTTTTTTTTTATCAGTGTTGCTTTGTCAACCATTCTCCTAGTTCAGTATTGAAAATAATGCAGATTGAAGCTAATAAGTTAGCTCTTCACACCATTAGGATGGGTATTATTTAAAAGAAAACTTAGCTGGGCACTGGTGGCTCATGCCTGCCACCGTAGGTAGTCAAGAAGTTGAGTTCTGAAAGATCCTTATAGATGAACCAGACAAAAAAGTCCTCAAGACCTCATCTCCAAAAAGGAACCAGCAAAAAGCCAGGCTAGAGGCATGGTTCAAGTGATAGTAGGTGGAACAGAAGGCCCTGAGTTCAAACTCTAGTACCAGTGCACATGCCTATGCACCTCCCCACCCCCCCCCCCCACACATAAACTAGTGTAGGCCAGAATATGGAGAAATTGGGGCCCTGGTCCATTGTATGTGGGCATATCAAATGATACAGCCATTGTGTAAAATAGTGTGGTGGTTTATCAAAACCTTAAACAGAATTACATGTTACCTAGCAATCCTACTTCTAGGTGCATAGCCAAAAGACTCAGATACTTGGGCACTAGTGCTCAGCACTATTCATGATAGCCAGAGGTGGAACAGCATGAGTGTCCATCAGTACATTAGTGGGTAACTAAAATGTAGCCTTTTGACACAATTCTGAAGTATGCTACAGCATGGACAGATCTTGAGGAAGGACACATCATGTGAAGTAAGCCAAACCCAAGGCAAATTCATAGGCGCAGACAGTGTATTGGAGGCTTATCAGGGCCAGGGATGAGGAAAGGGGAGTGGCTATTGTTTAATGTATAGTTACTGTTAGGGATCATGACAAAGAAGTAGATAACGGTGATGGTTACACAATATACCACTTAATGTACTTAAGTATACTTGTACACTTAAAAGTGGTGTATATTTTCCTACAATAATTTTTAGAAACTGTCAAATGTACCTTTTTGGGCCTCCTTCCAGATTTATACTATCAAAAATCCTAGGGCTGGGGCCCATAATTCAGATGCCCTCTAGCCTTTGGAAACCATTCCTCTGTGGCATGAGACAGGAACAAAGGGCTAGAGGGGGATGGGCTGGCACCTCATTTTAAGACACATCCTGCCAGCACAGAGCTAATTCAGAATTTTAAGGAAGCTATTGACATTATCAGAATTCTCTGTACTTCTCTGCTTTCTAATTTTGAAAATAACAGGCAGACATTAAAGAAAACTTGGAAAATTAAGTTAAAAATTATCCATAATCTACATCCACAATCTAATTTTGCTAATATAGATATGTGCTCTTCAGATAGATAGATAGATAGATAGATTCGAACTCAGGACCTTGTGCTTGCTAGGTGGGTGTTGGACCACTTGAGCCACACCTCAGCCCAGATGTACATGTTTAAAAAATAAATAGAGGATTATTAGAGGTGTTTTAGAGTCTGCTTTCCCTGCCGCCCCCCACCCCACCATCCCTGGCTCCATTGGCAGTATATCAAAAACATTTTCACATGTTATGAGCTCTTTTGCCATTTTTATTGACTGGAGGATTACATTTTTCGGTAGCTTATACTGGCAACAGTATGGAAGAATTTAAGGAAGACTGAGACTCCTGCAGGGATCCAACCTAGGAAACGGTGGCATTAAATCAAGCTGCAATGATAGGACCTACAGCACAACACTGTGGATGGGGTGGAGCTAGGGATGGACTGAGAACTTCAAGCTAAAAAAACCTTTTATTGATTGATGATAATGTGGAAGACTGTTTCTTCAGTGGTACTTTAAGGTTTTAAGTGGGGAACTAGAAAGGTAAGTTACATTTAGTTGTTGAGATACTGGCTGGGAGATACTGAGCTTTAGGGGTCTGTGGAACAAATGAGATTGAAACTCAAATTGGTGAGCTCAAGATCTAGAGACATGTACTTGAGAGTTAAATGTATGAATACCTGCCAGTGGAACTTGTGGTAGCATTATTCAGTGTTAGACATAGTTAGGTCACTGAGAGTACTACCTTCCCAAGGGATTCATGTAATTCTTTTAGGAACTGGGTTCTTCCAAGAATGAATTGTTACAGAAAGAGCAAGTCCATGAAGAGTCCCCTCCCACCACCACCCCGCAACCCCCTCTTTGGCTTCTGTACATGCACCTGATGTGACGACATCTATCCGGCCTGTTCTCAGAGATCCAAATGAAGTGGCCTGCCTAGTCTCAGACTTGAGGTGTCCAAAACTGTAAACAAAATGAACTTCTTTTTAAGTCACCCAGCTTCAGGCATTTTGCTAGAATAACAGGTGACAGAAGGTATCAGTTGGCCTCACCTGCAGTTGTTGAGGTTCTAGCCTGTGACCATCACACTAGGTGTTAGGGATTTGTTTCCCTCCCAGGACCTGTAGCCTATATTGTAATCATCTGCATTCCTGGATATGGGTTCATTTGTTTTTCTCTTTCTCCTCTCCCCCTTCCTCTCTCCTCACATGCACATCTGTCTGTTCACATCCTAAGCAGAACCCTTGCTTTTTCAGACAGCACCATTAACCACAGAAAGCTCACTTTCTTCCTTGAACTTCACACTTTGTGAAAGAAGTAAACCAGTGTTGCAAGTTTTAATGCTTGCTTCTGACAGCTTCTTTGTTGTTTGTTTAGGAGAACTTGGCTTTAATGCTCAGTATGAGGCCCCTTTGTAGAAAGTTCTGTCTTTGGGTAGTTTTTCTTTGATCCTTTCTTATTATTTTTTTTCTTTTCTTTTTCTCCCCCAGTGTTCTTAGATGCTTTACCACTGAGCCACATCTCAGTCTTTATGTTTCTTTATTTTTCTATAGTATTATATGTTTTTGCCTGGGGCTGGCCTCTGACCTTGGTCCTCCAATCTGTCTCTGTTTAACAGAGATTATAAGTACTCACCACCACATCAGTCTGTTGATTGAGATGGCAGTCTCACTAACTTTTTGCTTGGACTGGCATAGGTGGAGACCCTCTCAATCTCTGCCTCTCCGGCAGCTGGGATTATAGTTATTCAT